CTAACACCACATATCGAGCACAACAATTACGTTGGCTAAATAATGAAAAAACTCGACAATGTCAGCTGTTAAGCCCGCCACACACTGCAAGCGATGCTATAACACAAATTATCTGGGTAATGTTAACTGTATTCCCTCATTAAATTATGAAAATTTGATGATGTCCTCCACGTAACCAACCAGCAACATATTAAATTTCCAAATATCTTCACACCGAATATAAAGTGTACAAAGTACAAAGTACTGGTGACTATGAAATACCCCAAATGCTTTCTACGTTAGGCTATTTGACTGTTAGACTTTTAAATATTATAAATTTTACTTATTATAAAACTGTGTAACATTTCGCTGTATAATGCCACTCTCTGGATATTTATAAATTTTTCTTCTAATAATTCTTTTTGAACATATAATTTTTTTGGTCCCGAACATATGTATGGGACCGAGTTTTTTAAAGCGACAATGCCATAAAGAATTAAGTAATATTGAGCTCTAATTAGTAGCAATTATCAGTGAATATTAGTGTACCTGCCATATTTGCTACAAATTTAGGCAGAATAATGACTTTCCACGCCAAGCAGAAAAATAAAATATAACCTTGTCACAATGTGGAGCTACTTTTGACTTGCTAATTAATCTGTAAACAAGTAACATCCTTATTTGTTTATTACTTATGTAATTTTTAGACCATTGCCGTTGGCTCGATACATTTTTGACTGACTCGAAACATCTCCAGAAGTTTGGGTTATAGCGCAAAGAGTACAAATAGTTTAGTAACTGTACCGAATATTCGTCATCTTTAAAACCCCTACGAAGAAGAAGTTGCGGAAGCTAATTTGTCAGATATTTTGATTAGACAGACGTAATCTACCAAATTTAGAGAGAATTAACGCTACTGCCATAAGTTATCCACGTTTATTTTTGACAAAAAAAATGTTTACCCACCATTTTGCTAATTACTCATGCGACTATATAAATAAAACGAATGCATACTCGGAACCGCGTAATACATGTGGGTCTATTTAGCATTACCTTGAAATAAATATAAATAATTAATGTAACCCTGCTCGTAGAATAGGATATCGGGCAACAATAAGCCATTGCTTCTTCGAAATTTTACGCCTAGCATTTTGTATTTAAAATATGCATACACACGCTCCCAAAAATTAGGTCATTCGCTGAATATTGTTGAATCTTTTTGTCCAAACTTCGTAATTACATTGTGGGGTCATGGTTCGTATATTACATTTATAATTCGTTTAGCTCATTTATTTTTAGGGCATAGGGTTGGTATTTCTTAAGTCGAACGATTATCGCCGTTATTAATATCATCAACACGTTAGTCGCTTAAATTTGTTTCACTCCGGGGCAAAATTTTCCAGGCCGAGTTCGCATCGCGATATCAAGTTTTTTTTCATTTAACTTAAATGCCGTTTTTGCTGCTTCGGACATTTTGCTTGTCGGCTTGATATTCAAATTTATTCAAGCAAAATGCGAGAAATGAAGGCCCGTTAGAAGGCAATTTGCTTCCCAATAATATATTCCAACAAAAAAACACACTGGTTCTAGTAGTATGTTACCGCATGTACTACAACTGATGTCAATTGATTACTGGTTGATATTCTTAGAGAGAAAGCTTTTTCTCATGATAGATTTGAAGCAGAATGACGTAAACTAACAGAAACAAGGTTTCAAGAACATTTCGCAAATTGCCAAATTGAAATGCATTTTTGTTATCAATTTCTCACTAATCCTTCAAAATCGGTCAATTGTCCTCTGGCTACAGAATTTTATGGAAACGCACCTTCGAGGCAATATTACGACAAATTGGAGTCAACAGTACTAAATGCAAAACAACAGAACCCCATGACCAGCGAATTTTTAATTGCAGCCCATATCGAAAAGTAACCTTCTGCAGAACAAACAATGGGGATCATAATACCTTATTGTTAGACGAAAGAAGTTACTGGTTATACAATATATTTAAAAAATAATTTTGTATTAATTGCTATTTCGAATGAGAATCTTTCCACATTGTCTCACAGCACTTAGGTATATGTATATTTACCCAATATACGTACACAGCTGCAATTGTTAAACAAATTGACGGTAGTTCAAATTCTTTATAAAGAATTTTAAATTAATAAAAATAGAAAATAGAAATGAAATTAAATTGTAAAAATGATAGTAATTAATATAGTTTGAAGGCTTTTTTGGGCGTATACATTTGTGACTAGACAATTTGGGAAAAAACGCAATTATCGCTTGGAATAAAATTGTTTTTTATATTTATCTTTATTGGCAATTGAATGTTTGAATTTTTCCAACAATCACTGTTCCTGCCAAATTTCGTAAAAATGTCTAAATTTTAAGAGCTTATATATATATATATATATATATATATATATATATATATATATATATATATATATATATATATAGCTCTTAGTAGTTTAATTTATAAACCACATATCTTTTACAAGTCGAAGCCGCACTCACAGTGTGAGAACTTTTTTTCGGTTGTAACACATAACTCACAAGGTCTATTAATCCGTTAGTCTTGGAGGTGGATCGAAATTCGAAATGCCGAAAAAATACGTAAATTACAGACCCCGTGCCGCCGCTAATACCAGGTTTGCCGACTTCGTTTCTAAGATAAAATAGACAGATCCTGTGGTACCGATCTTGGCGTCGTTATTTATGAATATTTCTCTGGGCAGGTTTGGATTTTGCGTATAAGTTATTCTACCGTTCTTTCCTAAAGAATTTTAGATCCTGTGATGAACCTATTTTTCTAATGTGGTTGGTTACATGGTGGTGGTTTGGTTACATTTCATTGTAATTTATGTTTGTGCAACTTGTTAATGATTATGATAAATGAAATGTTTCAACTCGATAGGAAAGACCTAATTACTCTAAAAATAAGGAGGTGTAAAGGCCTGTCATCAATAAATGACATATTCGTAGTCCTACAATTTTCCTAAATTTGTGGAGAATTTTTACGACGTCCTTATTTTAGAAATCCATATTGCAAGTAATAAGGAATATATGTTTCTTAGTAGTAGGTTTCAGTCAAAAAAGAAGCATAATTTTATTATACAAAATGTAAAATAATATGGAAAAAATATTTTAGATACATCCTTCTCGACGATCACCGAAAAACTATAGTGGCAGTGATCTAAACTAATCCTATTTCGAACGAGCTTCGATGTGACGGAAGTTCAAAGAATTTAATCGACGATTTCTAATAGTAAGTTAAAGTTTCGAAGTAATTGCAACAAGTTCAAAAAATTAAATGAAAATCGTCTTTTCAAACTTAAAAATATCTGATAAGGAAGCTTCCATTTTGATGGATATCTATTAGTATATTAGGCAACAAATTTCAAAAACGACTAGGTCGCTTAAACCAGACATTTAAAGTGATGTTCCTGTACCTTCATATAAAATACAGAATACATTGTACACCACATTGAATATAGGTGTGAATAAAGGTGATTATAAGCGACCTTACAGATTACAGAAAACGTTTTAGCAACGATTTTTATTACCGGATCATTTAAGCGGCGGATATTTTCCAAATTACTTTCACTCCTTGTAAATTATGGAATTTTTACAAATTATATTTAATTAACGAAACAACGTATTCAAAATTGCTAACCGAAATTTTCATAAAGGCGGGAAAATGTTTTTTTATTTAATTCAATTTTTTCAATTTCAATTTTCAAAATTGATTTTTTTTTAAATCATTTAAATGAAATATAGAAATTCAATGGTAGGTTAGAACAATTTTACCAACCGCGAAAAATAACGAAGTAAAAAAATAACGTCGTAAATATCACTTCAAAAAATACTTAACTGGTTAAACAGGTAAAAGGTTTGGTATTCCTGCTAAATTGTAATTAATATTTTCATTTGAGGTTGCAAAAAACGCTTCAGTGGCGCAACACGTAAATACCAAAATAAGATCTCTATTTATTTTAACTACTCAGTCCGCCGGCCACGTTTATTTTCGGGAATTTTATGTTAAAAATATGTTACGTAGACGCGCTGGAAAACATCGCTTAAATAAAATAAAACGTTATTGAATTCAAATTTTTCGAGATAAACCATTCTGCAGCGTGACCTCGTTCGCATGCGCCAAAACTAAATAGATGTTTACGTTATAACATTGAATTAATTAAATATTGTTTGTTTGAAAGTTTTGGAATCGAAATAAAGTATTTTAGCAAATCATTACGAATAACAATATATAAAAAACCAAATATGAACATTAATGAGAACGTCATTAAAATATGTTATGGACTTTACTTTCCGAAGCGCTTTATTAACACCGACATGCAATGCGAATGCAGCAGAAAACAACGCAATAAAAAAAGCTATTTAAATTTTCGTAATGACATATTTTAATTAGTTTGGTGGAGGGCAGTATACACGTTTTTAATATTTAAGGCTTTAAATAATTTAGTTTTTAGTCCGGATTTAGTCACAACAAAAAATAAAGTTAAAATGTTAAAAATTAAAATGTTATAAATTTAAACAAAATTTTGTCTCTAGGGTTACTCGGCTAGTCGATAATCGATGTCTCCGGCAGTTTAATTAACACCTGATAGAAAAATTGGGCGTTAGTACTAGAAATACGGAATACAAGGGACAAAAATTATACAGGAGTAAGGATAAGTTCGCCCTACGTTAAAAACCGGAACCGGATAATCCCCGAAATTCCGAAAAACGTCCACAATATGGTGTAAAAACACGTCGTCTTGCAATTTAGGTCGAATAAATGCGAGAGATTTCTCTTGTTGCGAGAGATCGTTCCCATCGAAAGTTCGTCCATCGCTCGATGACTGCACTCGACACTTTTTCCGCGAATTCGGCACTGATTTCCGAAAAGTTTTTAGCACTTTTACAATTTTCCGAGCATAACACGAGCACTGAGCGAAGCAGGGGTTTGTTGGACAGGTTATCCGAATGGCTTGTTAGCTTTGAAAAACACTACTTACCAGTCGCCATGGCCATCTTCGCCAGGGCAAAAAGCGGCCCTATGACTCCACGATGTCTTTTTTTAATTCACTAGCTACTCACTGAAAGTCTTGAGATAGACTGACTAGCTTAAGAGTAGTGAACGTCTTAAGCCGGAGTGTGACCATGAGAACTACGCTGCGATTGGTCGGGTTCGTAGTGTAATGTGAAGTCAGTCACTTTGATGCTATTTTCTGCAGCGGCCGCAGCAGGCGCGGGTCGCGTTAGTTGCCTCTGTTAGTAATGCCTAGAATTCTCCGGGATGTTGGGCCTTGGACCATGACACTGCTGGGGAGATAAGCGATTCGGTATCGGTTGCAGGAGGATGGGAAAAAATCGTCTCGCTTAGAATGTGTATCGAGAGTTCGCTCGATTCCGGCGGGCATTATCGCGACATTTGCAGGGACGTTTGTTTAAAATGCGTTTCGAAAGAATTTAATAAAATAATGATAACAATATTAGATTTTATTATTTATTTTGTTATCTATTAGTTTAAAAATAAATTTTTCATAAAAAATTAAATAAAATATAAAAACGATTAGATACTGTAAATTTGTAAGTGTTCTCTAACGAACCTAAATAAAACATATTTAATGAAAATTGAATTTTATATTAAATTTAGTTTTATTGAACAACATTCACATTTACATTTTCTAGAAAAATCTGTATATATAATAATATGTAATTATATTTTTGCCCGTGTTTGCCGTGGAATTGAATTGAAATATTTTTGAATTCAATGGTAACAACTGTTTTTTTTCTCAACGAGACAAATTTACTATTATTTTGAGAATTGAATTTTAAATTTTCATTTAGGATTTTAAAAAGTTGTTTGCATGGTTGCAGTCCTATTTATTCTGCAGAATTTGAGATTATTTAATTTTCTGTCTCAAGTACCAATTAATCAAATAAGTTAAGTTTTCAATTCTGTAATTAATAAAACAAATTATAAAAACAATGTGTAACGTTATTTTGCGTAAATACTAGTTATTAACCAACAAATTTGTTTATTAAAACTGCAATGCGAAAGAATTAAAAAAAAAATTTCTTAATCAAAAGTTAAGTGAAAAATGAAAAGTATTATATATTGTTAATTGAAATTTATTTTCAAGTTTAGAAGTATTTAATAAATTTTTTCCTGTATAGTTCAAATGAAAACTATTTTTAGAGAATGAATGAAAATAATGATGATGCATTAGATGACACCTTGATATAAAATACATAAATCAGATATTATTTATTTATTACAGCATATTGTTAAATTGTAGTTTCGTAGAGTCAAAGTTAAAGAATTTGTACAAATAAATAATTAATATAAAAAACTAGAAAGTTATTCCTATATGTAAATCGATAAAATATTTGGAAAATATAAACTTTACAAATAAAATAAACAAAAAATTTTTTTGATTTTATTAAAGAAAATATATTTTGAAAATATTTTTTGCTTTTTGTTCATTTTTCGCTTTTTCTGGGAAAGTCTCATTTAACCCTTTATTTCTCATAAAAGGAATACTAAATATCCAAAAATGCAAAATTATCTTAATACCTGTTCAGTAATTATAAACGCTACCTCGCAAAGCTAGGCGTTTTTAAATGTAGAAGATTCTTTTCTGTTAATGTTTTAAGGGAATTTAAACTTACATGTTTTTATAAAACTTAATCTTTACCATAGTAAATTGTTTAATATGTCAATGTATTATTTTACTAAGCTATTGACTTACTGTTTGTCGGCAGGGCCATCATCAGAAAAGACTGATTCTTTCATTACACACGTAAAGGAAGTGAAGTACTAATTTTTTTATGGTTTGATTTAATTGGCAATAAAATTCATCTCAATAACGATGGATTTTATCAAAAAATAAAAAAAAACATTTAGTTATATAACGTCTGGGTCAATTTTCCTATGTATTAAAATCAGTTGAAATGTAGTTTAACAAATAAGAATGACTTTTATTTCTGCACATTAAGGAACAAAGCGTATTAATTATAATTATTTCGATTTTGAACATGCCTTGTTTAAAGATAATTACTAATGTTATATTCTCTTTTATTTAAAACCAACAATAATTACAGCTTGAATCAACAATCATAAAGTATCACCGTAACCAAAATTAATGCAATGAGAACACGTACTTCATTAACACAATTTAAACACCAGGAACAGTAGTGAATAACGGATATCAAAAATCAAAAGTAAGACCTACAACGGTGTAATTGCGGTTATGTCACTATTGAACGCATTCGCTAGTTTTGGGACCAGTTTTAGTATAAAAACTGGTACATTTGCGACCTATTTCACACCGAAAAACCCAATTTTTACTATAATGTTAAAGCAGAAAATAAGCAAAACTTTCAATTACATTAACCCCATAAATTATTTTCTAGAAAAATCTTTAACGCCGTAACAAATTTAATTTGAGATGAAAATAAAATTTGTAGGCGAGTCTTATAATCTGCTGCAAATTTGTTATCATTTTGTCGGAATTAGAATTTTGAAATTTTGTTTGCATTTATTGTGCAGAATTTTAGCTTTTATAAGTTTCTATATAATTGTCACGTCCTTATTATTTGAATCCATACAGTTTGGGCATTAATTTTCAACCTGCTGTATCATTCTCAGTATCTGACAAACAATTATTGATGGTAAATTCAAATTGTAGATAAGTGAACCTTTCACGATACAATTAAACTTTACATAATAAATATTATTTAATTTATTAAGGCATAGCAGGCGATTGTGCATTATCGTCAAAAAAGAAAAGATAATTGAAAAAAATTTATCGCATGTTAAAATCGTAAAGGAAAAGGGGAATAAAACAAAGGTTGAATAGGAACTTTTAAACTTCAGCGGGTATATTTTTAGAATTATATTTCCAAAGGACAACATAATAACATTTAAAATTAAAACAAAACTTCGTTATGTAAGTTTAGATAAAACATATTGTGGTAATTGTTTATTAAAACATTTATAACAAATTTCAGTCGTAAGCTCTACTTATTTGGAACGCCCTGCATATTATTTTTTAAATATTTCTGTCATTCAAGATCACCCGAATCTTGTTGAAAATGGGATATCCTGTATATCTAGAATAAGTTGTGTTTATATAACAAAGATGAAGTTCCTTTTTTCTCTTATTTTTGGCTTAAAATACAATACAGGCTTACGTTAAAAAAGCTCAGTTAGGATATATTCGAATTGATTGGGAAATATTAAAAGTGTATCTAAATTCCGTGTTTATTTTACAATGCTGCAAGTAGGTCTACCTACTTCAGAATTTTAATCGGTTGTTTAGAAAATCAACCACTGTCTGATTTTGATATCCATCTCGATTACCATGAGATTTTCTGTCCGAGTTTTTGCGAATCGCATTCGAAAGAACTCGAGTTATGTTATATTCGTTTTGCGTTTTGTTAATTGTTGAAAAGTCTGTGGAGTGCAGAGACCAAAGTCCAAATAATAAGTGTATGAAATTATGGTTAAAATGCATTGTAAATGTAAAAAGTTATTCAGATTTTGCTTTTAAAACTCTGAAAATAAATATCCGGCTTATGTTCATATATATTGCAAAGTATTGCATTCGTTTTTTTTTTTTAATTTTCACCCACTTTGAAAAGCACCTTTTCAAATGTAGTGTGCTCATTCTGATTAAGTTTTTGAACTATGTGAATTCTCTATTTTTTTAAGTTTTAAGTTATATTGCTAAGTTTACAACATTGTCACGCGTTCTTACGTTTCAGAGGCAATTTTTACCTAATTGAATAACAAATACAACACACAGGGAAGGATTTAATTATATTTTCGCTAAGAATTTTTCTTTTGGTTATTGATTGTAAGTGAAAAGTACCTTTTCTGCTTGATTAAACATATTTTTGTTTCATTTCCTAACTAGGGGTTGGCTGGGAAATTTATTAAATACATATAATTGGAATGCTGTATAGAAACAAAAGCAATTCGAGTCAATGGAATTTCTTTATGATTTTTTTGTATTCTCATCACATGTTGTATCATTAAAAATTTGCCCGCAATAAAGTCCAATTTTTATATGGAAGGCGAAAGAATTTTTGTCGTAAAATTTTATTGCTGTTTGTTCAGTGTATTGACATAACCTTTGTTAGAGGCGACGAACTGAAATTTCGTATTTGCACTTCACAAACTTTACAGGTAACGCGGTCTTAAACCCGACAATGTTTGGTTACATATTATTTGCGTTTGAGTGAAATACGATAGATGTGTAATTGTTTATTTTACCAAATACAATTTTGATTTTGGGCTGAAGTATATCTACACGTTTGAAGTCGTTTCCCACCATACGGCATAATATTGTGCGTGTCTCCAACTAATGCCCGGTATGAAGCAAATATATATTTTTTGGAATCATGTATTATTTTATTATTATATATCATATACTACATGTTAATTTTACAAATGCAATATTTCGAAAAATTAAAAAAATATATTGAGATGTTGCATCTTAAAATAAAACAGAAGTTTCAGAATATTAAATATACTTCCCCATGGTTTGTTTTTCGCTGTTAGCTAAACTAAGGAAAGAGATGGTTTTAGAGTGAAGCATATTATTCTGTACAGTTTGATAAAACTGTCTCACTAAATTGTCATAAAGATCATCGGGAAAACGTGACCTGTAATAGTCCACAGACATACACAAAAGTGCGAATAAGAAAACTTTATGATTTTTATTGAACTTTAAATTTAGACAGGTTGATCTTTGTGGTAATGGAAAGCCCTGTATATTACTTCATATTCTTATAGGTATTTTTTTCAGATTTTAGGCTTTGTCGCATGTTATCCATTAGTTTTGGAAACATAAGGGTTCAAAATTTCTTTCAAATGATATTTAGTACAATACATAATAACAATTATAATGATCCATATTATCCAAAACGGACACATATCGCAAAGCAAATTGTTGACCGGCAGGACATTACGAGGAAAGGCTCCACCCTGTTGCCATATTAGATTTACATATGAATTAACATTTGTCGAGTCCAATGATTTGAATAGTGATAGAATCTTTCTCAACATTTCTTTTCGTTGTTATCAATTATTTTACAGGATTTATTTTAATATGGCGAATAGGTAGTCTATTATCTGGAAATTGTCTATGATATTTATCCAAAGCTAGTAACACAAGCTTTGGATAAATACAATTCGTATCCTTATATCAATCTTTTTGTCCTC